TTACTTGAGGCTATATTTTTATTCACCACATGATATATGTTTTGCTTGGAGCGTCTTGTATGATTTGAGTCTTTGCTTTTTAGTTTACCACAATCATCCTTTCTGTACACACGTTTTGGAGAGACACACATGAATCGGAATTTATTAGAATACTCTATGTGCTTCACTTATATCTTTTGAGCTAGATAATTTTGCTCTAGTGCTTCACTTATACCTTTTTAAGAGCACGGTGGTGGTTTTATTTTATAGAAATTATTGATCTCTCATGCTTCACTTATATTATTTTGAGAGTCTTATAGAACAACATGATAATTTTCTTTGGCTATAAAATTAGTCCTAATATGATAGGCATCCAAGATGGGTATAATAAAAACTTTCATAAAAAGTGCATTGAATACTATGAGAAGTTTGATACTTGATGATTGAGATATGAAGATGGTGATATTAGAGTCATGCTAGTTTAGTAGTTGTGAATTTGAGAAATACTTGTTCTAAAGTTTGTGATTTCCGTAGCATGCATGTATGGTGAACCGTTATGTAATAAAGTCGGAGCGTGATTTATTTATTGATTGTCTTCCTTATGAGTGGTGGTCGGGGACAAGCGATGGTCTTTTCCTACCAATCTATCCCCCTAGGAGCATGCACGTAGTACTTTTTTCGATAACTAATAGATTTTTGCGATAAGTATGTGAGTTCTTTATAACTAATGTTGAGTCCATGGATTATACGCACTCTCACCCTTCCACCGTTGCTAGCCTCTCTAATACCGCGCACCTTTCACCGGTACCATACACCCACCATATGCCTTCCTCAAAACGGCCACCATACCTACCTATTATGGCATTTCCATAGCCATTCCGAGATATATTGCCATGCAACTTACCACCGTTCCATTTGTTATGACACGTTTCATCATTGTCATATTGCTTTGCATGATCATGTAGTTGACATCGTATTTGTGGCAAAGCCACCTTTATAATTCTTTCATACATGTCACTCTTGATTCATTGCATATCCCGGTACACCGCCGGAGGTATTCACATAGAGTCATATTTTGTTCTAGTATCGAGTTGTAAGTAAATAAAAGTGTGATGATCATCATTATTAGAGCATTGTCCCAAGTGAGGAAAGGATGATGGAGACTATAACTCCCCCACAAGTCGGGATGAGACTCCGGACGAGAAATAAAATAAAATAAAAAAGAGGCCATAAAAAAGGGAAAGGCCCAAATAAAAAAATGAGAGAAAAAGAGAGAAGGGACAATGTTACTATCCTTTTACCACACCTGTGCTTCAAAGTAGCACCATGATCTTCATGATAGAGAGTCTCCTATGTTGTCATTTTCATATACTAGTGGGAATTTTACATTATAGAACTTGGCTTGTATATTCCAATGATGGGCTTCCTCAAAATGCCATAGGTCTTCATGAGCAAGCGAGTTGGATGCACACCCACTTAGTTTCTTTTGTTGAGCTTTCATACACTTATAGCTATAGTGCATCCGTTGCATGGCAATCCCTACTCACTCACATTAATATCTATTGATGGGCATCTCCATAGCCCGTTGATACGCCTAGTTGATATGAGACTATCTTCTCTTTTTTTTGTCTTCCCCACAACCACCATTCTATTCCACCTATAGTGCTATATCCATGGCTCACGCTCATGTATTGCGTGAAGATTGAAAAAGTTTGAGAACGTCAAAAGTCTGAAACAATTGCTTGGCTTGTCATTGGGGTTGTGCATGGTTAAATACTTTGTGTGATGAAGATAGAGCATAGCGAGACTATATGACTTTGTAGGGATAATATTCTTTGGCCATGTTATTTTGAGAAGACACGATTGCTTTGTTAGTATGCTTGAAGTATTATTATTTTTATGTCAGTATTAAACTTTTGTCTTGAATCTTTCGGATCTGAAAATTCATGCCACAATAAAGAAAATTACATTGAGAATTATGCTAGGTAGCATTCCACATAAAAAAAATGTTTTTATCATTTACCTACTCGAGGACGAGCAGGAAATAAGCTTGGGGATGCTTGATACGTCTCCAACATATCTATAATTTTTTATTATTCCATGGTATTATATTATCTGTTTTGGATGTTTAATGGACTTTAATATACCTTCTTATATTCTTTTGGGACTAACCTACTAACCGAAGGCCCAATGCAAATTGTTTTTTTTTTCCTATTTCAGTGTTTCACAGAAAAGGAATACCAAACGGAATGAAACCTTCGGGAGAGTTATTTTCGGAACAAACGTGATCCAGGAGACTTAGAGTGGACGTCGAGAAAGAAGCGAGGAGGCCACGAGGCAGGAGGGCGCGCCCTAGGAGGGTGGGCACCTCCCACCCTCGTGGGCCCCTTGCAGCTCCACCGACCTACTTATTCCTCCTATATATACCCATATACCCCGAAAACATCCAGGAGCACCACGAAACCCTATTTCCACCGTCGCAACCTTCTATACCCGTAAGATCCCATCTTGGGGCCTTTTTCGGCGCTCCGCCGGAGGGGGAATCAATCACGGAGGGCTTCTACATCAACACCATAGCCTCTCCGATGATGTGTGAGTAGTTTACCACAGACCTTCGGGTCCATAGTTATTAGCTAGATGACTTCTTCTCTCTCTTTGGATCTCAATACAAAGTTCTCCTCGATTCTCTTGGAGATCTATTCGATGTAATTCTTTTTGCGGTGTGTTTGTCGAGATCCGATGAATTGTGGGTTTATGATCAAGATTATCTATGAACAATATTTTATTCTTCTCTGAATTCTTTTATGCATGATTTAAATATCTTTGCAAGTCTCTTCAAATTATCAGTTTGGTTTGGCCTACTAGATTGATCTTTGTTGCAATGGGAGAAGTGCTTAGCTTTGGGTTCAATCTTGCGGTGTCCTTTTCCAGTGACAGCAGGGGCAGCAAGGCACGTATTGTATTGTTGCCATCGAGGATAAAAAGATGGAGTTTGTATCATATTGCTTGAGTTTATCCCTCTACATCATGTCATCTTGCTTAATGCGTTACTCTGTTCTTATGAACTTAATACTCTAGATGCATGCTGGATAGCGGTCGATGTGTGGAGTAATAGCAGTAGATGCAGAATCATTTCGGTCTACTTGTCGCGGACGTGATGCCTATATACATGATCATGCCTAGATATTCTCATAACTATGCGCTTTTCTATCAATTGATCGACAGTAATTTGTTCACCCACCGTAGAATTTGCTATCTTGAGAGAAGCCACTAGTGAAACCTATGGCCCCTGGGCCTATCTTCCATCATATTATTTTCCTATCTACTTGCTATTTCTATTGTTGTTTATTTTGCAATCTTTATTTTCCAATCTATACAATAAAAATACCAAAAATATTTATCTTATTATCTTTATCAAATCTCACTTTTGCAAGTGATTGATTACAGACAATATTATCAGTGATTTTGAATGTCTGCATTTCATGAAGCGAAACAAGTACAAAACCAATAGTATGTGTGCTCTCAAGCTTGATATGATGAAAGTTTACGATAGACTGGAGTGGTCATATTTGCAGACCATGACGATCAAGTTGGGATTTGACCCCTCATGGGTAGAGACAATTATGGGCATCATCAGTTCAGTCAAGTTCCTAGTCCCATTCAATGGAGAACAACTTGATCAATTTACACCCAGCAGAGGGATTTGACAAGGAGATCATATTTCCCCTTATCTTTTTTTATTGCAGCAGAGGGCCTTTCGTGCCTCCTAAAATCCAGTTCCCAGTCATCAGTGCTCAGTGGTATCAAGGTGGCTCCCAAGGCTCCTGTTGTGAACCACTTGTTATTCGTCGATGACAGCCCGTTGCTTTTCAAATCAAGTGTGCAGGATGCAAATGCGGTGTCAAACCAGCTTGATTTGTATTGTGCGGAGTCTGGCCAAAGGGAGAATCATGATAAGTCATCCATCTTCTTTAGTAGGGGATGCCCTCAAAACTTGAGACAAGATTTCACATTTTTTTAAAATACCAGATTAACATTTTTTGAATACATGGTTAACATTTATTATACATTTAACTATTTTCTTCAAATAACCGACTAACATTTTTTAAATAAAAGTTTAACATTTTTATAATACATGGTCAACATTGTTTCATACACATTTAACATTTTTCAAATACAAGTTAAACATTTTTTAAACACTTGTTCATCATTTTTTTTTCAAATGCTTGTATTAAAATTTTTCAAATACAATCTTAACATTTTTAATACATGTTCAATATTTTTTCTATACACATTTTTTTCAAAGACAAGTTTAACATCTTTTAATACATAGTCAACATTTTTTTCCATGCACATTTCACATTCTTCAAATACAAGGTTAACATTTTTCGAACACTTGTTCAACATTCTTTTCAAATGCTTGGATTAACATCTTTTGAATACATGGTTTACATTTTTTTCTATACACATTCATGTTATATATTTTTTATACATGAGAAACATTTTCCCTATTCACATTAAACATTTTTAAATGCTTTATTGATAGTTTTCGAAAAAAATTAAATTTGTTTTCATACTATAGAATATCTGGAAATATAAATAAATTAAGAAAACAAAAAACATAAAAAAACGAGAATATGGCCTGTGGCCTGCGGCATGATGGGCTGGTCTAATATGGAGCGGCGAATACTTCCTCAGCGCCCGTCCGCGAGCCCGTTTCATCCGCGCCGCATAAAGGGCCTAAACGGCATAGCCAACGGGCCGCAAAAACAAAGCTCAGGATAGCCCGTCTCAGCCACGCCGCTCGTCAAAAAAAAAAAGGGGCCATCGCAAGGTCAGCCGGTAGGGCACGCCGCCGTTCGCTCGTCGGCACCCCGGCGTCCCAATCGTGCCCGCGTGCGCCGCCACCCCTGCTTCCCGCTCGTCGCCGTCCCGGCATCCCGCTTGTACCCACGTGCGCCGCCGTTTTGCCTCCGCCGGCGCCACCACTGCTCCCTGCTCGTCGCCGCCGGTGGTGCAAGATGAAGGGTGCTGCGAGGGACGAGCACAAGAAGCCGGCAGAGGAGGAGAACAATACTCCGGCGTGGGAGGATGTGGATCCGGCGAGAAAGCAGGTCCAAGGTACATGTCTGAATTCTAATCCTCTCTGCACCTGTCCTAACTGTGATTTATTATCAGCGCGCTCTGTAAGTCTGTAGTACTCCTAATTCATAAGCAGCAAATGCCACCAGGGATATAAATTTGGACGAGTGATTCATAAAGCAGCATTGAAGGAATACCACATGCTGTAAGAAAATGTTTGAACTCGGAACTTTTATCTGTTCTGCATCTGAAAACGAGGACATGCAATTAAAATCCTAATTAGTTGTCGCAATCCTTACAAGTGTATGCTCACAGAAACTACAACTGCTACTAGTAAGTGGCTGCTTGATATACTTGGATGATTGGAATCTAGTCTAGTGCTTCTGCTGACAATTTTCTCAACTGAATTGGACACCAACAGCCAACAAGTGATGTCTTCTCGGACGATTTTAGCAAGAATAATTCAGATGTAATAACTTCTACTAACAGGTGTATGTATGTATGAGCTGATGTGATTTCTTATTCGTTCAGATTGATGCGGGAGAGGTGCAGCAGCTGTATGGTGCCGCTGAGAAGATCCACCCTGGGGTTGATGCACAGCCGGAAGGCGAGGACTGCGACGACCACAAAAAGAAGGGGCAGGTCTTCTATCCTTCAGACCGGGTACCGACCACTAAAATTGACGATGAAGATTGCTTGGCAAGATGACAATATTTCATTCCTTATTGTGACATTTACTTTGAGCTCATGTATTGTTTGTTTGTCTCACATGCGTACAGCCAACAGAGCAGTTTGTTCTACCAAGCAAGCAAATGCAGTGAAGAAACCACCACCGCCGGTTTTTCACAGCCTAAGGTGAGTGCATTGTTGTTTCTTTCTGGTTTAAGATGACCACATAAGTGATTCACCAATATGTTCCTCTTACATAACTGCTTCTACAGCACATACTCTCAGACGTGAACGCAGCGGCGACAAGAATAGGAGATGACGACGAAGTATTGATCTGACAAGTAACACATGCCAGGTCAGTGCACTTTTAATAAGAAGTGCATTCATGTATCAGTATTTCAGTATTGCAGATACTTTTCTGGTTCAAGTACCCTGAATGAGAGGAATGAATGTAAGAAGAGAAGCGGAAATTTTGTTGGCAAGTAAGCAAGCCCCTGAGACCATCCATCATCTTGTTGTCCATGCATGAAGTAGTCTTGTTTGTCAGTCGATCTGCAGTAGTTGGTGCTCTTACCAATCTAGTTGGTGGTCTGGTTGATGTGAATCAGCCTAACCCTTTTCATGGCCATATATTTTATCCTAGAGTAACTCTGGTTAATATTAATTTGATTTTGTTCCGAAAAGATTTGCCAATTCCTGTGACAATTCATCATGTATTTGCTGATCTTGTATGCAAAGTTGATCATGGTGCTATTGGCGGGCACTTGCAGTTTTCTCTTTTGTTCCACGCTGATCATATCAGCTTGTAAATCCGACACAGTACAGACTAAGCAGTACTGGATACTGACTCACAGTGGTACTACTCTACTTATTAGTACTCATCGCCGTTAACAACCCTCTGTTCCGGTCTCGTCGAGGTCGAGCTCGAACGGTCAAGCCTCAGGCCTGGATCGCAATATACCCATCGATCCGGGGGAAGCGGCTGGCAAAAGAGCAATCAGCTAACTAGCTTGCACGGCCGGTCAATCTTCAGTGATCCGTTTTGGCTTATACTACTAGTGTGCTCATGGTGGATGTATCTCTCCGTCCTCCATGGTTCAGAGGGACGCTTCCTTGGGCTTGAGTTGAATCACCTCGGCTGCAGGCGGTCCAAGGCAAGGTAGGCGACGACCCGGTAGCCGACGAGGAGGAGCGCCATGACACAGACGTCCACCCAGTGGTTGTTGAGCCCGACGGCCTTGATGGCGGGGAACTCGGCGATTGGGCAGAGCGCGCCGCCGCCGCAGTCGTAGAGGCCACCGCCGTCGCGGAACTGGATGCCGAGGAGGAGCCGGTAGCAGTAGAAGCTGTAGTTGAGCCACTTGAGCCACCCGATGAAGGGCGGGATGTGCTGCACGTAGTAGCCGCCCGCGATGAGGAAGACCATGGTGATGACGGAGGCGAGCGTGGTGCCCTGCTTGACGTCCATGAGCACGGCGCCGACGGCGAGCCCGAGGCTCTGGGCGACGAGCACACTGTAGAGCACGACGAGGAGGGAGAGCAGGAAGGAGGCCGGGCGCGGGTCGAGGCCGCCCATCCAGTAGAGGATGAGCACGAAGGCGGTGGGCAGGCCGAGCTCCATGGGGAGGTCGGCGGCGGTGCGCGCGGCGAAGTAGGAGGAGAGGCGGTACATCCCCGAGGAGCGCTCCTTGAGCAGCATGGGGCGCTCGAGCGGGAAGACGAAGACGGCGTTGTAGAGCGGGAAGAAGCCCCAGAAGACGGAGAAGAAGAAGATGAGCGCGGTGCGGTCCTGCAGGTGCGCGGCCGGCGTGCGCCACCAGAGGAGGCCCGCGAGGAAGGCCACGCTCAGCACCTGGAAGATGCGGAGCTTGTTGAAGGACTCGTGGCGGCGCTCCTTGAGCCCGCGCCGGAGGAGCACCGAGAACTGGGCGCACCACCCGGCCGTCCACTCGGCTCGTGAGGCGCCCCGGCGTATGCCGCCCGCGCTGGCTGCCTCGTGGGAGCATATGTCCAGCTTCACCGCCGGCGCAATGTGGCGCGCGTACGCGTCGGCCAGCTTCCCCCTCACCTCCTTCTGCTCACCCTCGCTCCCGCCGCCAGGGACGCCGTCGCTGTTGGTCTCCGGCAAGATACCTGCATGCACAGAGCAATTCACAGTGATGATCAGTGCTCGGATAGCGAACGTCTCCCCGGAGGTCGACAAGTGTCGGGCACTGTGTTGGTGACCGGAATGGAGGAGGGAATGATGAGGAGGCGACCGGCCGGTGTGTGGTGGTGGCCATGATTGGGGGAGTGGACGGAGCAGTGCGTCCCTGTCCGTGTCCCTCTCTCTCCCCCACCCAGGCGATCGACCCAACAGCTCCATGGATCGATCCGATCGTACGTCGCCATTGCCATTTCGATTGGCTCCGTCTCTCTCAGTGGCCGCCGATTTGGCGTGCGCTTACGTACCTATGTTCGTGTGGTTAATCACCAACGCAACGGGGGGCGCGCGATGGTGCTGGTGCTGGTGATTGTGATTGTGATTTGGATGCGATGGACGCTGATGCAGATGCAGGAAAAGGGGAGAAATCCAAAGGCATGCGCGCACCGTATCGGCGACACAATCTTGGCACACCACATTCCATCTCCCCTTTATTTATCTTCTTTTTATTTGTGAAATTCCTTTACTCGAAAAAGTATTTTATTTTAGTTCTTGGTGGGTGCCTGTGGTATCCTATGGCATTATTTTACCTTTTCTCGCGAAGTGGTTAGCCGAACAACTGTCGTTGCGGATCAGGTTCTGCAACTGTATTTATAATACTATTTCCATGAAAAAAAAGGTGTATTCATGTTTGCGAACCGAGCTTTGTTCAAACGGTTGGTTAATTTGTGCTCGCATTTCCGTGGATTATTTCAGGCTTGCAGCGATGTTTGTTCAATGAGAGGAGGCATTCCTGTCGCACCATAGGTAGTTTTTAGTTTGATCTGCTCGTTGATTCTCTATCCGACGGTGGAAAAGAGTTGGCATGTCACCATACTGTTTATCAATGACATGCCCATGGCAAGCCACTGGGCTTTAGTCCACACTCCACACTAGACTGTTGTCTACGAAACGAAATTGTTAGCTAAGTTCTTTTTTCAAATAAAAAACTCTAGATTTTTCAGTTTGCATGATAAGTGACACTCTACACTAACCATCTGGTGATTTTAGAGTGACGTGTTGGTTTGTAGTTGGGTGCGATGAGCGTGATGGAATGCAACATGACAGGTAGTAAACGAATATATGCATATGCATGTACTCCCTCCGTTTCAAACTAAAATCACGACGAGTAATTTGAAACGGAGGAAGTACTATTTAAAAAACCTTTTGCAAAATGTTTTCGAAGGCCATGGCCCCCTATGACCCCCACACTGGATCCGCCCATGCTGTAGAGCTGTGCTACCCCGCTCATGCAGTGTACTACGTGAACTGTTCACTTTGATCCGCCCATTGATTCTCAGTCGGACGGTTGAAAAGAGGGGGCGTGTCACCGTACTGTTCTCGAGTGACATGTCCATGGCAAGTCACTGGATCTCGGTCCACACTACACTGTGTGCGGAACGAAATTGTTAATTAACTATTTCCCAGATTAGAAATTGAGATTTTCCAGGTTAAAGTTGATTGCGACCAGGCCGGTTGGCATTTTAGGTGATCCCCTACACTAACCATCTGGCTTCTCCATGGATTTTCGAGTGATGCTGGTTTGTGGTTGGATGAGGTCAGCGTGATGGAATGCAGTGCAATGGCACATGCATGCCAACATGCCAACATGCCATATGCATTGGAAAGCATCATAAAAAGGGTAAGTAAAGAGAATTAAAGCGAAAGGGAATATCAGGGTGGTGTGGTGATCAGTGGGTGGAGTGGAGTCGTGTGTGGCATACCGTTGGCGAGGTCGAGCATGAGGTCGGCGGGGTTGACGGACAGCGGCGACGCGAAGCCGACGGAGGCGAAGTAGGAGAGCGAGTCGGCGGCGCGGCCGTAGTAGATGGGCCGCCCCTCGGCGGACAGCAGGAGCACCTTGTCGAACATGTGGTAGAGGCGCGACGACGGCTGGTGGATGGTCACCACGACCGTGCGCCCGCCGCCGGCGGCCATGCGGCGGAGCGTGCCGACGATCCTCGCGGCCGTGGTGGAGTCGAGCCCTGAGGTGGGCTCGTCCAGGAGCAGCAGGCTCGGGTCCACGAGCATCTCCAGCCCGATGCTCACCCGCTTGCGCTCGCCGCCGGACAGCCCGCGCACGCCGCGCACTCCGCCGACCATGCTGTGGGCCACCTTGGTGAGGCCAAGCTCACGCGCCACCGCCTCTGCCTGCGCGCGCTTCTCGCCGGCGCCGAGGGCGCGGGGAAGCCGGAGCAGCGCCGTGTACCACAGCGTCTCGGCCACGGTCAGATGCGGGTACAGCACGTCGTGCTGCGTCACGAAACCCGTGCGCCGCTTCACGGCGCCGGAGAAGGGCTGCCCGTTGTAGGTGATCTTGCCGGACAGCAGCGCGTGCCGGTGCCGGCCTCCCAGCGCCGTGAGCAGCGTCGTCTTGCCGCTCCCGGACGGGCCCAGCATCGCCAGCATCTCCCCCGGCCGCACCACCCCAGACATCCCGCTGATGATCGTCTTCTCCCTCGGCGGCAACGCCGCCGCCTTGTTCTTCTTGGCCCCTGCCCCGCCGCCGCACGCCGACGACACCACGCTCGTGCACCATCCCTCCGTCGCCTGCCCGACCTTCACCTTGTACACCACTTCCTCGAACTGCACCCATGCAGGCACACACGTCTCACCACCAATCGTGACCAAACGAATAACTGAAGCCGTTTACGCACATGAATGCGCACGCGCGTGCGTCTGCATGAAACATTACCTTGAGGACGAGAGGGAAGGAGTTGGCGGCGGCAGGGCGGTGGCCGGAGGCGTCGGACGGCGGGCTGGAGGTGGTGGGATGGACGGCGCCGGAAGGGTTGCCGTTGCTGCTGGGCGGGGTACAAGTAGAAGTAGGTGCCACCTTGTGTTTATCATCATCATG